ATGAGACACCAGAGTGATCAAACTTGTTCAAGGATGAATTGTATTGCCCCTTTCTGTGATGTATGATTCTGTAATCAGATCCCCCTAAAGTGATATGATGCGTGGTTAGCAATAAATAATGAGGCTCCCTGGTTCTCGGGAGGGTGGCTGAGGAGGACGAGGCAGCTGCTTCTACTCTGATGGCTAAGTCCCCTCCACAAGGACCATCAAGTGGGGCTGACGTGAGCACTGCTACCATGAATTGCGTCTGACTCCATTACTTGACCCCATCTTTTAACTTGCATGCTCTCTATGACTTTACTATAATCTTTACTTGTTATCGCTGTACAATTGCGCCTACCGAACTCGTGATGTTTTGTGGGGTTCCCTCTCCCCTTTAACCCCCATAGCTCTGTTTGGACAGGGATTCTCAGAGGAGCCTCAAGACGCCACCTTCCGCTCCACTGAGATATTTCCCAGGGTGCTTCTTGCCATTATGCCCACGGTAAAGAAGTACAAGTGTATGCTCTTCAGTTCAGCAGACCTCCTGGACCCCTCTTTGAACCAGGGAGCTTGACAGGACTGGGGATACCAAACTGAAGGAGGTACAAAGCGGGCCGTGTGGTCCCGAGGCTCACAGTTTGCTGAAGGAGGTAGACCCTTTGCAAAACTGCCATGGCAGGCTGCTACCCGCCCCATAACGCACAGGCCACCGGCGTGCTATGGGAACTGGGTATGGCCGGAGCCATTGCAACTGAGAAGGTGGGATTGGGACTACCCTTGAAGGAAGGATAGCATTTCATTTAATATGCGTACTTAAACAAATTGATTTAATATGTAAACAGCATACATATGTGTATATAAACAATTTCATATGTTTAATTAAAATGGCTGTGATGTGACCCGGGCAGAGGTAGGGAAAGACTTTGAATCTTCTGAAGGACTTTTGTTTAAGATCATTTCATTGGGGGCTCTTACAGCACTTCTAACAATCCATACATCAGTCGTAACAAGCACATTTGTATATATGGTGCCATCATCACTTCCAAAACATTTTCTTTCTACTTGATCCCTTGGTATCAGCTCCTCTCCCCGCCCCCCCAACCCCTGACCTCTGAAGGATTTTGAATCCAGTCCCATGAGCAGGAGCAGATGAACTTTGTCTTACGTTGTGTTTGCTTTCAACGCAGAATCATTTGTCAGCTTTCGACCCTGAGTTTGCTGGTGGACAGTTGTTTGATCTATTTTATTGTTAAATGTTAGAAGAATTACAAGTGTTTTATTTATTGACTAATTAATGGGTTTGAAGGTATGTGGTTTTTCCCAGTTATATCAACACATTTTTAGAAATGGTGCTTGAGCAATCTCGAATTAAATTGATGGTACAGCTAAGTCTACCCAAATCAAAGCCCATTACCACCGAGTCAGTTGCCACTCTCGGTAACCCCTCAGGTCCTCCAGTAGAACTGCCTGATAAGGTTTCTGAAGCTAGTCATCCCCATGGAAGCCGACTGACACATCGTCCTCCTACAGATGGCTGATGGGTTCCAACCGACGACCTTTTTGTTAGCAGCCAGCTGCTTAAACCACTACACCACAGGGCTCCTATATGCAGGTGCCTTCAAGTTGGTTCCAACTCATAGTGACCCTGTGGGCAGCAGAGTGAAACGCCCCCGGTCCTGTGCTCACAGTATTCTTATGTTTGAGCCCCACTGTGGTAGCCACTGTGTCAATCCATCATGCTGGAGTTGCACAATTTCTGGAAATTTAGGTACAGGGACAGGAAATCCTTCTGTGAATAGGAATCAGAGTGATCTGATAATACTAACACACACATCTTCCCCCTGTATCCTTTTGCTAAAGGAGTAGGGCTAGATAGCAAGTCGTGAACATTGTATTTCAAAGGGCCCTACAATTTCTGAGTCCTGAAATGTCCCATT